GGGGTAGGGGTAGAGGTGGGGGCTGTTTCTTTTTGTTGTTAAAAATTTTTTTTTTTGGTAAATTTGAAGTTGAAAGAAGTTTTGTCTATGTTTGTGGGAGGCAGGCACAGAAATTATGTTTTCCATTGTGTATGTGTGTATCGATACAAAACAATAGACAATTTAATTCACAACAGTAATGAATTACTGGAGTGTATTGTTATAACAGAAAATTAGATAGCAGAAAAATGGGTTTGCCCGAGGTAGAGCATTTGCCTGGAGTGCACAAGGTCGTGGGTTTAATCCCCGGTACTGTCAGACGAGCAAGCCATTATATGCATTAAAGACACTTAGAGCATGAGCCATATTGTGTCTCCTAGAAAAGGCACATTAAAGAGAGGAAAGGATGGGGCGTGGTTGTAGCTCAGTTGGTAGAGTGCTTGTTTAGCATGCAGGAAGCCCTAGACTGCATCCCAGCAGCACAGAAACAAGGTCTGGGGAAAACGGCCATAATCTCAACACTTGAGGGGTAGAGGCAGGGGTGATCAGAAGTTCAAGGTCAACTTCAGCTATACATAGAGTTTGAGGCCAGCCTGGGATGCACGAGCCCTTCTCTCTCTCTCTCTCTCTCTCTCTCTCTCTCTCTCTCTCTCACACACACACACACACACACACTCACTGGGCTACATGGGCCCTTATCTCTCTCTCCCCCCCCCACATAGAGTTACTGAATAATCTTCTTGTACATTATGAAAATGCATCTTTTCCAAGGCGCCTTATGATTGGATTAATAAATTGCTGACTGGCCAATAGCTAGACAAAATGAGATTAGGCAGGAGAGCCAAACTGAGAGGATGCTGAGAAGAAGGGTGGAATCAAGAGTTGCCAGCAGAAGGAAGCAAGATGAACATGCTGTGCTGAAAAAGGAACCACACAGCAGAGTGTAGATAAGAAATTTGGGTTAAGTTGTAAGAGTTAGTTAGTAACAAGTCTAAGCTATTGACGAGCATGTATAATTAATATTAAGTCTCTGCATGGTTATTTGGGAGCCGGTGATAACAACAAAAAACTCTGCCTGTGGAGGAGGAGGACGGAGGAGGAGGGAAGGGAGAGGGGGAAAAGGGAGGTGAAGAAGGAAAGTTATGCATAAACTCACGTAACTATTGCTCATCTGTGGCCTGCATCATTTCTGTCATACTGCACTGACTGAGCGCGGCTCGAAAACAGCCACTGGGAAGACACAGATTAGGGTCGGTGAAGAACCGGGGCTGCGATGGAAAGCTGTTCTTTCACCGTCACCGCCTCTTTCTGGGCTGGAATGGCATGCCTGTGGCTGTCACCTCTGGGTGGACACAAAGGACACAGTGAGGAGTGGGCAAAGCCTCTGTTCAGAGAGATCCACTCCATCCAGGAGATCAGGACATGTGCAAACGACATGGGTGAGACGTGGCACTTAAAGGGACTCCACCCACCTGCTGGAGGTAGGATGTGCGAGCCAGTCCTGGGAGAGGTGGCTTGAGGAGGAGGAGTCGGCTATGAGTCAAAAGGAACTAGGAATGGGATTCAAGCCCTTGTCCCCTCACACTCGCCAGTGTCCCTCCTTCACCCCCACCTTCCTCATTGCAAGCTTGTCACCCTGTCCCCGTTCCTTGCCGCAACTTCTTCCTCCCCCATTCAACTATCTCCCTGCATTAGATAATTTTCTGGTTGATGTCACAGAAGCCAACTTTTTGGAGAAAGAGTTTATTTACTTCAGCTTACAGTCCCAGGAGATGTAGCCCATCAAGGTGGGGAAGATATGGCGACAGGAACGTCAGGCAGCTGGTCACGTGCATCCACAGGAAGCACACGGTGCATGCTGGGGCTCAGCTGGCTTTTTGTTTATATTCAGTCGAGTACCCCAGCCAGGGGATGGCGCTGCCTGCATTCAGGATCCATCTTCCCATCCCAGTTAACCCGTCTAGAAATTCCCATAGACATGCCCAAAAGTAGTGTTTTGTTTTGTTTTTGTTTTTCGTGACAGGGTTTCTCTGTAGCTTTGGTGCCTGTCCCGGAACTAGCTCTTGTAGACCAGGCTGGCCTCGAACTCCCAGAGATCCGCCTGCCTCTGCCTCCTGAGTGCTGCGACAAAAGTAGTGTTTGAAGGCTTACTTTATTATTTAATCTTGCGCGCGCGCGCGCGCGTGTGTGTAATAACCCTTGCAAAGTGCTACCCTCAAGTGGTGACTCTGGGTAACGCATCAGTTAACTGACACATCCCAATGGCTTTCCCATGTGTTGGTCCAGATCCAAGTAGAACACAGCGTGGAATCCCAGACTTAAGTTTGATCCCTAAGACTCACATGGTGGAAGGAGAGGACTGACTCCCAGGCTGACCTCAAACCCATGAAGATCCTCCTCAGCCTCCTGTGTCTGGGGGTTCCAGGTGTAAGCCACCGTGCCCAGCTGAAGTATTTCTCCTGTGTCTGGGGGTTCCAGGTGTAAGCCACCGTGCCCAGCTGAAGTATTTCTCCTGTGTCTGGGGGTTACAGGCATAAGCCACTGTGCCCAGCTGAAGTATTTCTCCTGTGTCTGGGGGTTCCAGGCGTAAGCCACCGTGCCCAGCTGAAGTATTTCGCGTGTGTTTGGGGGTTTCAGGCGTAAGCCACCATGCCAGGCTGAAGTATTTCTTTCAGAAAATGTCCTTAATTTCTAGAAATGCAGCACAACTCAGATTTTTTTTTTTTACAACTCAGATTTTTTAAAAGAAGAACTGACCTATGTAAAACTATTAACTAAACGGATGGAAAAAAAAATAGGGGCCAAACATGTAACTCAAGTGTTGCAGGAGCCAAACACACACAGGTTTCTGTGAGTTTGAGGTCAGCCTGGTCTACATAGACCTGTATCAAAAAGAAGGAGAAGGATGAGGAAGAGAGAAGAGGAGGAAGATGACGACGATGATGATGACAATGACACACACCGAAAAGGAGGAGGAAAAGGAGGAAGTAGAGAGGAAGAAAATAAAAAGAGAGCCAGATAGGGTGGTGTATGGCTGTAAACCTAGCTCCTGGGAGATAGAGACAAGAGGAACAGGAGAGCCACCTGCAACTATGTATCAAGTTCGAGACTAGCCTGAGCTACATGAAACCCTGTCTCATTAAATCAAAAAGTAAAGTCAGAGAGATAGCTCAGTGTGGTTGTCCAGCCACGATGTGTTCATCTGTTCCAGGGTGGGGCATGTGGATTGGAAATGTTAGGCAAGCCAGGCGGTGGTGGCGCACGCCTTTAATCCCAGCACTCGGGAGGCAGAGGCAGGCGGATCTCTGGGAGTTTGAGGCCAGCCTGGTCTACAAGAGCTAGTTCCAGGACAGGCACCAAAGCTACAGAGAAACCCTGTCTCGGGGGAAAAAAGCAAAACAAAACAAAATTGAAATGTTTGGCAAAATAGACAGAGATACAAAAGAAATAGAGAGACATAGGATAGTACCGGGAGGGCAACTCAGTGAATACTGAATCTGCCTGTGTTTATTTTCCATGTGCTTATATACCCCAATATAAAAGGGGGGAGAAGGCAAAAGGCTACTTTAACATGACACAAAGGACAACCAGAACAGTTACTTGCTTCAATACTTGAGACACCAAGCCATTATTTCCTGAGTAAAGCATTTTGATGTTTTGGGCAGGACATGCAGCAAATACACCCTAGACCAAGTATCCTGTAGGCAGCCACTCCCTGTGTCAAACCTGTTTTAAAATGAAAGAGCAGGAATAGGTTAGAACTCTCTGACCTTTGGTCAGGGTGGAGCGGACCCACTTCTACGGGCCATCTTAATGTCCAAAACAACAAGAAACCACAGCCTAGGTCAGGGTTTCTTGTTTGTAGCTACACCTGTTGTCAACAACTTTGAAAGAACAAAAATAAGTCCACACTCTCTGCCCTTTAGTCAAGGTGGAACAGGCTCATGTTGTGCGCCTCCACAGTTCAGCAGTTAAGAGCACTGGCTGTTCTTCCAGAGGACCTAGGGTGATTCGTGATTCCCAGGGCCCACATGGTGGCTCCAACCATCTGTAGCTCCAGTTCCAGCGGATCCAGTGCCCTCTTCTGGCCTTTGAGGGCACCAGGCATTCTCATGGTGCAATAATACATGCAGCCAAGCATTCATACACTTAAAATGCAATAATAAAATAGTAAGTTGTAAAAACAAGAAAGGAGAAAAATAGGCTCCATGGTACAGGTTTGATCGGTTGTGTTTATTAAACCAAGCCTTTAAATTATGCACCCACCTACAGTCCATAGCCGTGCACACACAGAACATATGGAAGTAAGAGGCTCGTCAAGCAGAGCTGGCAGAGAAACAACTGTGTCTCTCTCTCTTCAGCACCCTCCTTAGGCCAGGTCTTAAAACACCAGAAGGCTGGCTTCCCAGACAGATTTGTCCCCAAGTGCTGTGGGGAGGAGAGGAACAAGGCAATACTTTCGTTTTACATTCACAGATAAAGTATCTGTCTAGGTATCTCTGTTCCTCCTGCCACAGCTCATGAGAAACATCAGTCAGCAGTGGTTACAGAAATAGGTAACGCACAGAGCGATGCTTCTGGCTATCGGAACACACACTTAAGAACGGTATCTGTTTCCATCTGTGTGGGTTACGATGAGCACATCAGCTTACTTCAGGTCAGTGAGGGGTATTCATGAGGGAAAGGAGGAAGGGCCTGGAAGGACGAGGCCTGGAGAGAAAGTGAGTGCCAGATGAGGATGTCCATGAGGATGCAGAACACAAGAAGTTACCAATTCCTCACTGTCCTACTTTGTAGACACCACAGTAGCTTACAGCCCTTTGGATATCTTAAAAAGTAACTCTTCGTTACCTATGTACAAAGTTTTAAAAAGATTCATTAGGAGACAAGGAAACTGAAACTTTGAGCTGTGCGCTTCCATAGGCTTTTAGGTACGGGACTCTACAGTGCTCCAAAAGTCTTTTTGGATAGTTTAAAAATTCCCATAAAAACTTATTTTTACAATCATTTCAGTTAGATAAGGGGTGTTGACTGGGGTGGGGTGGGGATACCAAACCCAGGATGAGGGGGAGGAAGTGGAGAATCTCAGAAGTTAGAAGCACATGACTGTATGACATTCATTCGTTCACCCTCATGGGATGCCCAACTTTTAAATAAAGATATGATCATTCACATTCTGATTCAGAATCCAAAGCACTTACTCCATATCGTGTGCGTCTCAGTGAGGCTGACCTCAGCTTGTCTGCTAGCGACCCTGTCACCTGGTGACCCTGTCACCTGGAAGCTTCCTCAGGGGTCCAGAAAGTCTAGAAACTGCTATCCCAGCTGGGAATGGCAATCCCAGCTACCCAGGAGACAGAGGCAAGAAGCTGACAAGTTCGAGGTCAGCCCAGGCTACATAGAACAAACTCTCACAGGTAGTTAGCCATCCTAATTTATTGAAGGAGCGAGGGCCACCTCACCCTATAACAGTCTTCTCTAGATATTTTGGCTGATATTCTGGTCCCTGTGTTGGGGACTTGTTAGCTTAGCAGGGTCTGTGGAGGTGTTGGCACCCAGCCTACACCCAGGAAAGTGTGCAGAGGCAACCATTCCCAAACTCACATGGCCATCCCAGGGGCCACCTGGAATAGCCAGGAGACCTCAGGACATGTGCCCTAGAGAACACTGTGCAGTGAAAGCCACACTAAGGTATATTCTCTAATGTGGTGGCTCTCAACTGTAGTGAGCATCAGAAACACATGGAAGGCATGTTGAAACACAGCCATTCTTGAGGCCTGGGAACCCACTTTCTTAAGAGTACAATGACTCTGCTGGATTGGGGACATCACTTGGAGAAGTGACCTTCCCCAAGACACTCTGCCCTACAAATCTCCAAGGCAGCAAGCCTTCCTGTGGCCTCGGGAAGGGCTGCACATAGCATTCCTATAAACAATTAGCTAGAGGTCAAAGAGGCCCAGTGACATCCTAGCAGGTCCTGTCCTGGAGGGATGGAGGAGTGTGGATAGGCTCCTGTCTACGTCACTGGGTGACCAGGGACAACTGTAGCTTCTAACATGAGGAGAGAGTGACAACAGCCCCTTCATGAGCCTGAGGGGCACAGGTGCAGAAAAGCCCACCCAACAAAGAGCATGGTAAAGTGTCTGTCCCCAGAAGGATGTCAGCCACTGCAGGGATGTCTCCTCCCTCCGCCATTGCTGGGCAAAAGCCCATTCTGGCAGCTAGCGATGAGGAAAGAGGCAAGAAATGTGGCATCTTTATCGCGGAGAAATGTGTAAGTGGACTATCTAATTAAAACACCTGATTGTTAAGAGATCAACCCACAATCCAAGGAGTTCGCTGGATAACTGTATCAGAAAAAAACCAATTCTACCTTCTACTCACATATAAGTGAGTCACATCCATACAATCCATAATGTTTAGCTGAGTTAGTTCCAATCTCACAAGCTGCCCTGCCTGGCAGGGAGATTTCAAATGTGATCATTAAAATAGACACCTGATTTGGGTTTAGAGACACACCCACAGAATGAGAAAGGAGCACACTTTCACACACACACACACACACACACACACACACACACACGCACGCATGCACGCACGCACACGCATGCACGCACGTACGCACACCTCTTAGACAGGGAAGTGCTTCTCCCAGCACGGGATCAAAGCTGTGACAATCTGTAAGTGTTCAGATCACAGCACAGTTCAGCAGGGATCTCACTGCCAAGCCTTGGTTTCCTGGGTGACCACAGACGAGACTGCTCCCTGCTGGCTGCCTGACTTCCTTCAGATGTGCTCTGGGTGGCTCTGCAGGCAAGACAGCATCTCTGTGACAGGCTTGCCTTCATAGCAGATCTGGTACACCGCCGTGAAGAGAGGAAACCTAGAGGGACAGGAAGGGAAGGACACGTTAGGTTGTGCGCCTTGACTGAGTGAGTGTGTGTGAGTGTGTGACAGTGTGTGTGTGTGAGTGTGTGTGTACGTGAGTGTGTGCGTGTGTGTGTGCGTGTGTGTGTGTGTGAACAGGCCCCCAGACAACAGCACCACTGATGCCATGATGAAAGCACAATTTAAGGTTGGGCGGTGGTGGCGCACGCCTTTAATCCCAGCACTCGGGAGGCAGAGGCAGGCGGATCTCTGTGAGTTCGAGGCCAGCCTGGTCTACAAGAGCTAGTTCCAGGACAGGAACCAAAAGCTACAGAGAAACCCTGTCTCAAAAAATAAAAAAAAAAAAAAAAAAAGCACAATTTATGGGTAGAAACCCAACACATAGGCGGCATCACCTGTCACAGGGAGAACAAAGACGTAATCCATCAACATCCATAGTTCTGGGAAAGTCCCTGAATGTACAAACCTTGAGTTTTTGGATTCTGTAGTTGTGATTCTGGCTAACTGAGGTGTGGCAACCCAGGATATGGTTTTTGTGCCTAAAAACTCACCCTTGAGAAATGCTCAGGGCTGTCCTGGGATCCTGAAAGACCAGCGTGGTCACCAGCCGGTTAGTAAGACTTCCTGTTGGCCTAACCCTGTGTCTGAGCAGTCTTCTCTGGTAGATCCCTGCAGGCAGGTGCTTAGGTACACATGTGTGTAGAGGCCAGAAGACAGCCTTGGGTGTTGTCTTCAGAAACTGTCCGTTCTTTGGTTTGTTTGTTTAAGACAGGGTTTTACCATGCGGCCCTGGCTGGTCTGAAATTCACTATGTAGAGCAAGCTGGCCTCAAACTCAGAGATCTTCTTCCTTCTGCCTCCTGAATGCGGGCATTAAAGGTGTGTGCCACTATGCCTGGTCCATGTTTTGTGTGAAATATGATCTCATGCCACCTCCTGAGTGGCGAGAAGTGCATGTACTGGAGTGGCCAGTAACCTCCTGCCTCCCTCCAATCTCTGGCACCAGGGTCTCCCCTCTCTAGAATTAGGGGACGGTTAATGCTACATGCCACTATGGTTTGGTACCTGAGTGTACCCCTTCATTCTTTGAATGATTGATCCCTATTCTATTGGAAGGGCTGGGACCTTGAGGCATAGGACTTGAGAGAAGGAAGTGAGTCATTTGTGGGGTGGGGGGACAGGCCCCTTGGGAACCTTCCTGACTCTCTACCTCCTGGTCACCACAAACAGACCTGCTCAGCCATGTGCTCCTGTGGTGACTGATGTACTGCATCTGCAGGGCTGCACCTATGGGGACGTACAGAGACTGTGTTCTCCTCTTAGGCTAGCCTCAAATCCTGGATGTGGACTCCTGGTCCTCCTGCCTCAGTCTGCTGAGTACTAAGGCTAGAGGCATGCGCTACCATGTCCAGCTCACTCCCCTTCCCCTTTAAATACATGGTCTTACTCTGTAGCAAAGGCTGACTTTGAAATTCTTTTGTAGCCTAAGCTAGCTTCAAACTTGCAGAAATCCTCCTGCCTCAGCGTCTCCAGTGCTGGAGTTTCAGGCATGAACCATCACATCTAGCTCATACTTGTATTCCTTCGTAAAAACCAAAAGTACCTGGGCATGGAAGCTTTAGGTTTAAGACACTTTAAGTCTTGACACTCCAGGGACAGATGCAGGTGGATTTCTATGAGTTCAAGGGCAGCCTGATTTATAAAATGAGTGCCAGGCCAACCAAGGCATGTAGTAAGACTCTGCCTCAAAAGAAAACCAGCTGCAAAGGTGACCCCTGTATAACAAACTAGAACCTAGCAGGTGTGTCTAAAGCTCCTCAGGGTTGGTTATGGATATAGCCCAACACACAGAATTATATACTTACTTAAAACATTGAGACTTTTTTTTTTGCTATTTTTTTTTTTTTTTGTTACTCAACTGCAGAGTTCTCAAGTGACAATGTCATGTCACGATGTAAAAAATGTTGGGCACACTTGACTAACATTTCATATTCTATACCATGCTTTTTCTAAAGAATTAAGCTCTTCTCAGTGAAGTTGAAATTGGCTTTGTGTAAGTAGCTATTTCCCACCAGAGATGTCCACATCACGTAAGACAGATCCGGTCAAACCCTGAGTACACTGGCTGAGCAGGTTCCCGTACCCAACCGCGGCAGCTGTTTGAGGAACTAGCAGCCCAGATGACAGGTGACTCACTTGTCCAGTAGCCCCTTCTGCTTGAGGATGCGGTACACCTCAGCAGAGGTCTGAGGGCCCTGGAGCTTCTGCCCATTCAGCATCTCCTTCTCCAGTTCTTCAATGGTCTGAGGAACAAAGGATAAAGAGAGGAGCCGTTTGAGAATTCTTCCTCTCCAGAGAGGTAGAGAGGAGAGCTGACATGTTCTGTTTCTAGCCAAGGAAAGGATAAGGACATTTTGTAAGGGAAGATGAAACCATGAAATCTGCAGGCAAGTGGGACTGGAAAGAGTCACATTAAGCGAAGTCACCCAGGCTCAGGAAGGTGCATGTTCTCTCATACGAGGCTCTTGCTTCTAAACCGTGTGTGTGCATGTGCGTGTGTGTTTGTGTACTTGTGCGTTCATGCCTGTGTGTATGCATGCTTTAGAGGCCAGCAGCTGATGTCTGTGTCTTCCTCAGTCTCTCTCCACCTTCCTCCCTGAAGCTCACCAGCTGAGCTGGGCCTGCTGAGCTGGAGGCCTGGGGCATCCTCCAGTCTCTGCTCCCCAGCCCGGACATTACAGGTTCACATGGCTACAGCCAGCTTTCCATGTGGGTGCCAGTGAGCCACTGTGAGGTCCTCATGTTTGTGTGTCTGAGCCATCTCCTCAGTTTCCTAGCTTCTATTGTCTATATCTATGCATTTATGTTGGAGTGGGTGCGGGCAGAGGCCAGAGGCCAGGAGACTAGAAAGGAGCCCCTGAGAAGGGGGAGAGAGGCTTCTTGGGATCAGGGAGGGTAGCAGAACACACGTGATATAAAAATGGAGGGGGGATTCTGGCAATAGAAGGGCACAGTGAGGATGGGGTGAAGAGAGGGAAGTTGGGAGGCAGAGGGCTTGGGGGAGAATCAACCTAAATTAAGTATTATAAAAATGCCATCACAAAACCTGCTAAAGTATGCTACTTTACAAAATAAAAAGAAAGAAAAGATAAGGACATTTAAGGATTAGAGCAGTCAGGCGAACGCAGCCAGGGCACACAGATCAGGTGCCGTTATGGGAGTCTCTGTGGGGACAAGTCTCAACTTCCCCCAGTCCGGGAGGGCTCAGATGAAGAGGGTCTCAGTATCAGGGAGAGCAAGTGGGGTTCAGGGTACCTTCCCAGTCCTGGCGAAGGCTTCTGCCACCTTGCGGTTCCGCCCTCCATAGCAGGTGGTGATGAGGTCAGCCACCCCACAGCTCTCCAGGAAGGTGGCCGTGGACACCTGGCCTTTGCAAAAGATCTTGGCAAAAGCGATCATTTCCATGAGTCCCAGACGGATGACGGCTGCCTTGGTGTTGTCCCCACAGCGGAGGCCATCGCAGAAGCCAGCTCCCACAGCAACTATGTTCTGCAGAGACCACAGAGGAGGGGCTGACACCAGGGCTCACACAGCCCTCAAAGGGCCAGCATGTGGGCCATTGTGGGCAGTGGGGGAAGTGTGTGGCGCATTGGCTGGATAGTCCTTGGGCGCATTCTCTCTTGACAAACCAGTTTGCTTTTTAGATTTTTTTTTATTATTTTTTTTATCAAAACAGTGCTAAACTGGGCTTGGTGCCTCACATCTTTAATCCCAGAATCGGGAAGCAGAGGCGGGTGGATTCCTGCAATTTTGAGGCCAGCCTGGTCTACACAGTGAGTTTCAATCCAGTCAGAACTGCATACCCTGTCTCAAACATGCACCACCATTGTTAACGCCATAACCACCATACATACTACCAGCACCACCAGCACTACCAGCACCACCAGCACCAGCACCACCACCAGCACCACCATCACCATCACCACCATCACCAGCACCAGCACCACCAGCACCAGCACCACCACCATCACCACCAGCACCACCACCAGCACCACCACCAGCACCACCACCAGCACCACCACCAGCACCACCTCCACTACACCACCATCATCACCACCACCACCTACAACACCACCACCACCTTCACCACCTGAGTTTAATCCTCAGAATCCATGTTTTTAAAAGACAGACCCCAAACTGAAATCCACCCCAGTCAAACTGACAGGGAAACAGGCAAACTGCACCGCTCCACAGCAGTTAACGTAGTACCCAGGAGCATCTGTTGGTGATGCGGGTGGGCCGTTCTCTTGGGTGTGGGCTGGGACGCTGGCTCTCAACCTTCCTGATGCTCTAGTCCTTTAACATAGTTCCTCATGTGGGGATGACCAACCATAAAATTCTCATTGCTACTTCATAACTGTAACTTTGCTACTGGTATGAATCATAATGCAAATAGCTGTTTTCGGACGGTCTTCGGCAATCCCTAAGGGGGCCTTGACTCACAGCTGAGAAGTGCTGGTCTAGGAGATGGCTGGCTGGGTTACTAGGTAAGCAGACATGCAGCTATAGTTCCAGTCATTTGTTTCATTAAAATTCCTCCCAGTGAATATTCATGGGGCACCCACTCTTTCCGTTGTATTGCATCTGCTCTACTATGTACAGGTAAATCAGATACCGACAGTCAGATACGAGACTCCCCTTCCGTAGGCGATGATCTGGTATAGAGGATATCAACCTACTAAGGCCTATGCTTGTCAGTCACATCCTATGGGTGCCTGTCCACACTGCCTACTGATGGCAGCTGTGGATGGCAGAAATGGGGTCAGAGACCTAAGCACTTTCTATATAGCCCTTGCGGAAAATGCTTGCTAGTTGCAACAGGGAAGATAAAATGTGTGTATAAATGACAGTCCCTTTCTTTCTGGTGGTCCAGCAGCCCATCTGACTCTTGACGGACTTCACCTCAAAGGATGCTGTCTGAACAGTGGGCTTACCAAAGACAAGGGGTCATGTTATGCATGCAGGTTGGATCCTCTATCATGGAACTTGGTAAAAAAGCTAGAAAAGCTATGGTTAGACCCATGCCCAGGGCACTAAGCTAGGCCACCTTGATATGTTTTATATAGGTTTCATCTAATGCAGTAGCCCCTTGTGGCCACTAAGCTTTTGCAAAGCCCAATTCGGGAGCAGGCCAATGGCTTCCTTGACCTCATATCAATGAGCTAAGGCTTATAGAGGATTGTTAGCTAAACAATTGGATGTTTGAACCTCTCTGCTGTCTTCTGGACCGTGTGTCTGTGTCACTCACGCTAGAAGATGGCATGATAAAGCAACCCTAGTAACTACCTGTGGCTGACTGGGGATAGTAGGACCTTTCTTGCTGCAAGGGTTCCTGCAGTTGAGGGCAGGGCCGCACCAAGTCCTCGGCAGTCATAACCCTGAGGCATGGGCTTACATTCAATCCCCTGGCCAAGAGATGGAAGAAGCAGGGCTCAGCCCTGAGGCCCAACCCCCAGACATGATCTGTGCCCCACGTGTCACTGATGCCAATGCCTAGGGCACTTGTCCTTTTTCTTCCCAGGTTGGAGAGACTTCCTCACGCCCCTGCAATTCTGTGTCATAAGGGACAAGCCTCTATGGCTTCTCAGAGGCAGAGGGAGTCGAAGGGCAGGCTGGGAGGAGAAAGACACCACCACTAGCAATGGCTGACCTGAACTCAGTGCTAGACTGCTTGCCTAGCAAGGGCAAGGCTCTGCTGCAAACACTAAAAATAAAATAAATTTATGCCTCACAGATTCTCACATGGCGGCCCCTTCATCACACACAGTGAAGGATGAGGAAGCCAGGCACACTGCAGCTTGCCAGGAGACACACCATGCCCGCAGGCCCGGTTAGCAAAAGACAGAGAGAGGCCTCCTCATAGTTCAGGCAAGAGCTTTCTTACCGGAAGAGCTGGCCCACTGAACCAGAAAGATTTGGAGTTCTCTGTCAACTGGCTAAGCCGGGTAGTGCGAGCAGGCCCAGAGCCCCAGTCCAGCTTGTCCAGTCACTGCACTCAGAGAAAAGGCAGACAAGGAAGAGGGCAGAGGGAGCAGGGCTGGGATTCCTCCCCAGCAGGACCCTGGATGCCTCAAGCTCCCAGGAGTCACTAACTTCCCAACTAGGGGGCCTTGGACATGCCAGCTCTCTTCTAATAGGACCCTGGACCCCCACCCAGCACACACACACACACACAGCGAGTCAGCTAGAGCATGTGTGATCAGAATTTGAGCAGATGTCCTCTGAGAACACTCAGCTATGAAGGTTATCATTGCCGGTGCCCCTTGATCATGCAAATTTGCTCTCAACAGCCACAGCTAAAAATAGCGTGTTTTTTTTGGAAGACAGGTGTATTCATTTAAAATTTTATTATTGGTGTGTGTGTATGTGTGATGTGTGCATGTGGAGGTCAGAGGTCAACTTGGTGGCCTCTGTTCTCTCTGTCCACCTTTATGTGGGTTCTGGAGAGTTGTCCTCAGGCTTGTGCAGCAACTGCCTCTACCCACTGAGCCACCTCACTGATCTTTCTGATAATGGCGACATGACTCAGGTTCAGACTACACAGCGCTAGCTAGAACAGAAATGACTCCACAGCCATGGGTGCTGGAGTTAAGTTAGCGGAAAAACCAACAAGACATCTGGATGACAGGAAATTAAAGGCTGGCCAGAGTATAACTGGTGTGTGTAACAGATGAGACCTGCCACGTGTGTGCCAGCCAGGCAGGTGTGACCGACCAGGGGGCACATGCAAACTGACCATGGGGTGGACATTACTCATCAGCTTGGTATCTGGAATCACCCAGGAGTGCCTCCAGGCACACGGCAAGGGATCATCCTTCCTGGGTAGCTGAGGTGAGAAGTCCCCCCCCCCCCCAAACATGGGTGGTACCATTCTGGGACAAGGTCCCACACTGAATAAAAAAGGGAAAAAGATCTGATCACCAGCATCCATCTTTCTTGGCTTCCTGACTGCAGGTACAGTGTGACCTGCTGGGGCCCCTGTTCCTGTCACTTTGTCTTCCCGCCTGCCTTCATGTCTTTCCCGCCACTATGGTCTAATCCCCAGGGATGTGAGCTGGAATAAACTTTCCTTTCAGTTGCTTCCCTCAGGTTATTTGGTCACAGCAATGAGAGAAGCAACGGAGACACCATGATTAGTCTGCAGACAGGCCCAGCAGAGGAGCTAGCCGGGCTGTTCCTACCTATCTGCAATCAGAAACTAATGTCCCCGTTGGTGAACAGAACCAGGGTGTGCTTAGAAGATGTAGAGCCGGGCCCCACTGCCTGTTCTTTGCTGCCTGGATGTGTGTGCAGTGTGATCTGCCAGCTTCCTGCTCCTGATGCCATGCCTCCTCCATCCTCCGGGAACTCTAAGCCCACACTGGTTGCTTTTGTCAGGGTATTTATTCTGTCAGCAGGAAAAGAAATGAATACGTGGTCTCTGCTGACCAAACCTGAGATGCAGTACTTTAGAAAGCAAACAGGACAGTGTCTCTGCAGGACTGTGTGCTGCTTTTAGAGATGGCTCAGAGGTTAAGAGCTCTGGTTGCTCTTCCTGAGGACCCAGGTTCAATTCCCAGTGCCCACTAAACAGCTTATAAAACCTCTGTAACTCCAGTACCAGGGGATACGATGCCCTTCTTCTGGCTTCTGCAGACACAGGCATGCATGTGGTGCACAGACATGCATGCAGTGAAATACCCGCGTACATGAAATAAGTCATCTTACTTTTATGTGCACTTACTCTTTTCCTTCGGCTGGCAAGTCTTTCAGAGTGGAGTTTCTAAAGGAGGTCAACCTAGGTGTGGTGGCGGCTGCCTTTAATCCCTGCACGGAAGGCAGAGGCCAGCCTCCTCTGTATAGTGAGTTCCAGGCCGGTCGAGGTTACACAGTGAGACACTGTCTTAGAAGGAAATAATAAGACGTCTAGAAGTGGTTTGTGGACATTCTCGGTGGTGCAACTGCAACATCTTCACCTCCACCTGTGCTTGCGGCTCTATGTCTCAGTGTAAAGCTATATTATATTTTTTTAAGTGATATTTTTTGAACATGTAAAAAAATAAGAGAGCACTGGGAAGATGTCTCAGTGGGCAAAGAGCTTTCAGGACAAGCATAGCCACCAACACCCAGGCAGAGAGTGAGTGCATGCCCGTAGCCCCAAGTCTGGGGACAGAAACAAGTGGACCCCTGGAGCTCACTAGCCAGCCAGATTGGAGAGCTGCGGACTCAGTGAGGGGCCCCTCTCAGAAGGTAAGGTGAAGAAGGCTTGGAAGAGACACCTGATATTGACCAAGGGTGCACCGGTGTGCATACCTGCAAACACATATCACATACACGCACACAGGGATACATACAAGACAGACCCTAACTGAAATCTTCAGACATTAACGCCACTTCTTGAGTGTTAGAGAAACAGAAAGAAGCCCAACATCTCTACCAAGGGCTTCTGCTGATGTTTTTCTTACTCTGGCCTGTGCCCAAAGCCCAAGCTGTCCCGTGACGAGGTCACAGCCAAGCATCATGAGCTGGTATCTCCAATGGGAAGTAGCAAGCTAACCCAACAGAACCAGCGTAAAAAATAGCTTTCCCCTGCCTGAGTCCAGGCTCTAGTCCTTCTGCCAAAGGGGAGAGGTGAACATCAGGAGAGAGGAGCACCCAAGCAGGACTGTGAGGCAGAGGTGTGGACAGGGACGGTGCTGGTGAGAAAGGACACTCAGGTCATTTACTCTGGATTCTGATCGCCTTATCTGTGCCATGGGGTGCCATGGCTGGATTCAATTAACAGTGAAAGTTCCTACTTCTCAGTTTTAAATCTCTAGTCCTGGTGTAGGCTGGACAGCCCCTGAGGAAGAGTAACAAGGGGCTCTGGGTCCCCCTCCCTCTGCCTCCACCTCCCTCTCTATCACTGTCCTGCATGCATGAATCCACTCACAGGTGCACAGCAACCCCCATTAACAGAAGCTTTCTAGAACCATCCATCTAGAGTCTTCTCACCCATCACCCTTTGTTCCGGGTGGGATTTCACATCATCTCCCCGCCGGCCACTTAAAGACAGGATCGCACAGCTTCTGGCTCGTGCTGAGTGATTAGGCATTCACAATGTCCCCCGCTGCTAAGTGGTCATTAGTTTAACAGAGGACTATTAAAAGCCATAAAAATCTCACCCAATAGAAAGCCGCCAAAGCCAGTGCCTTGATGACTGTGGAAAGAAGCCCGCCAGCACATCACTGGCACAGTGACCCCATACACAGAAACGCAGATGCATGCCGCCTGGCAGACTAAGTCTTAGCTGGTTAGAAGTTTTAAAGTGTGCATTGCATTTTGTGACCATACAATCTTAATTCTAAAAAGTGGTTTTAAATTCTGACTAGAAAGGAGGATGTAGGCTTCCTGGGAAAGAGGGGGCAGGTGCTTTCCTTCTGGCTTCCGTGTTCACCTTGGCAAGTCTCGCTGGAAACAGGCAGTTGGTTGCCAATCGCCAGGCACCCTTCCCAGCTGCTCCAACTCCAGAAGCAGCTTTGGACTGAACTGCTGGGTATTTGGGTTTATACTGAGAAGTCAAGGGGGACAGGAGGCTGACTTCCAACTTCTTATGTAGCCAAGGATGACCTTGAATTTTCAATCCTCTTGCCTCCAGCTGCCCAGTGCTGGGATTACAGGTGTGCACATCACATCCCGCTTATGTGGTGCTAGAAATTAAACACATGACTTCCTGCATGCTGGGCAAGAATTTTACCAATAGAGCTTACATCCCTACCACTCTGCTTTTTAAAAATTACCTTTACTAAAGCCAGGTGTGGTGGCACACAACCTTAATCCCAGTACTCTGGAGGCAAAGGCAGGCAGATTGCTGTGAGGACAACCTGGTCTACATATCGAATTCTAGGACAGCCAGGGCTACATTGAGAGACCCTGCCTCAAAACGAAATAAGAAATAAGAGTAGAAATAATAAGAAAAGAAATAATAATCGGGAGGCAGAGGCAGGCGGATCTCTGTGAGTTCGAGACCAGCCTGGTCTACAAGAGCTAGTTCCAGGACAGGCTCCAAAACCACAGAGAAACCCTGTCTCGAAAAACCAAAAAAAAAAAAAAAAAAAAAAGAAATAATAATAAAAAAAGAAATAATAAGAAAAGAAAGTGCCATTCATCTAATCTATCTATCTATCTATCTATCTATCTACTTATCTATCATCCACCCACCCATCTATTCATCCATTTATTTCTTTTGTCTGTCTGTGTGTCCATCCATCCATCCATCCATCCATCCATCCATCCATGTGTATATATCTAGTGTGTGTGCACACTCCTGGGCATGCATGGAGGTCAAAGGACAACTAAGAGTCAGTTCTCTCGTCACACCCACAGGGACTAACTGAGGTTGCCAGGCTTGGTAGAAGGTGGCTTTACCCAGGGTCATCTCACCGGTCCAGCCTCCATTTTTGCACTCCCAAATAGGCAGGGTCAACCAGTTCTGACTGCTGGGGAGAAAGCTCATGGACGCTGTTGTGGTAGCCCTGCTTCCTCAGACTGTTCTTCACTCAGGACAGAGGGACAAGTGCAGAAACATTTCTCTTGACCTATTCTTTTTGCTTTGGTTTTTCGAGACAGGGTTGTAGCTCTGGCTGTCCAGGAACTTGCTCTATAGACCAGGCTGGCCTTGAACTCATACTTATCTGCCTGCCTCTGCCTCCCAAATGCTGGGATTAAAGACCTATTCTTAATTAAGACGATGGGAAGCCATTACTTTTGGACGGCACTTCTACAGGAGACCCCACAGAACAGACTTGTCTGAATGGAGTCTCTCACCAAATGCCACCTCATCAGACTGACCCACCAGGAAAGCATTAGGTCCCAGAGCTTTTCCTGGAAGCAGGAGTCTATACCGACAGAAAGTGCTGGGCGTGGAGGCAGCATTCAGCACAGGGAAAGAGTGGGTTCCAGGTCGGTCTGGGCTATGTAAAATGTTGAAAGCCACTCTGGGCATTTTAGTTTGATGCTACTTCAAAATAAACCCTAAAAAGCCTGGGGTACATTTCAGCAGCAAAGTGCCTGCCCTCAGATTTGTGCAAGGCCCCGTACCCAACAAAGAAAAAGAAGGCTGGGAGTGTGGCTCAGCTGCCACCTAAACCAAACGTGGTGCCCAGACCTGTAATCTCAGTGCCTAGAAGGTGGAGGCAGGAGGATCAGAAGCTCAAGGTCATTCTCACCAACTTATTGAGCTGGAAAGCAGACAGTGCTACTTGATGCCCTATCTCAAAAAGCAAACAACCCCAAAAACAACTGCATCAATTTTTGCAATAACTGTGTAGAACCTACTGCTGCTGGCCAGGTCTCCTCCACTGCTCTGTTCCCTTGTTTTAGCTTCACAGACCCCTCAGCCCTGCCCCACGGCAGGACACCGTTCTTGGCAGATGCAGGCCGCCTCTTGCATGTTTGGGGCTAGTGCTGATTGACTCAGTGATCAAATCTGCTGAGATTTTTGCCCCCTGAAAACCCCTGGTCACCGGCCAATCGAGAACTGTTTCTTTCCACCTCAGGGAACAAAGATAAACTATTCTTTGAAAAAAGCCTCTCGTCATCGGGAGACAACTCTTTCATGGTGACAAGAATGAGAAGCCCATGGAGTGAAGCGAGAGGAAATCAATTCCCATTCAAAATAACTTCAGGGTGAGGAAGGGGGATGGAAACCATCGAGAAACCAAACACAAGTGGCTGCCTTGGCACCCCCAGAGAACAAGATGCTGGAGTCGGAGACAGAGCCAAGGGCAAGAGCTCTGGCTGCTTTGGCAGAGGATCCGGGTCCATTCCCAGCCCACACGAAGCAGCTTACAACCTTCTTTCTATATGGTAGTTCCAAGGCAGCCAGTGCCCTCTTCTGGCCTCCAAGAACACTGTGTACATTCGGTACATGGACAACAGTGCAGGCATTCACATATACACATAAACAGAAAAAATAAATGGGGCTGGAGAGATGACTTGGTGGTTCGGAGCACTTGCTGCCTTTCCAAAGGACCAGAGTTTGATTCCCAGCACTCATGTCAGGTGGCTCACAAGCACCTGAAACTCCAGCTCCTGGGAATCTGATGCTTTCTCCTGGCTTCTGTGGGCATCGGCATACATGTGCCCATACTCAGACTGACATGCACAAAAATAAGAATAAAATCTTAATGATAGATAACAATTTTTCAGAAAACAACAATTTGGGGCTAAAGGGGCAATGGCTCAGTGCTTAAGAGCAGCTGCTGCTCCAGCGCAGGTTCGTTCCCACCACCCCGTGACAGCCTACAATCTTCAGAGGTCCAGTGCCCTCTTCTGGCCTCTGCGGCCCCAGGCATGCATGCAGTACACATACATGCTTTCAAGCAAAACATGCACACAAATAAAAGTCATCTAAAAACAACTTTAAGAAAATCACAATTCACTGATATTTATAAATAAGAGTTACGAGACAGAGTCTACCATGTAGGAAAGAGGAAAGTCAGGAGGCTAAGATGAGGCTAGCTAGTTTTCACAGGTGCCTCTGACAGGAGCAAGGTCATGGCCGGAGAGATGGCTCAGTGGCTAATGCATTTGTCATGCAAGCCTGACCACTTGAACCAACCCCCAGCACCCAGTGAAACTGGACACAGCAGGGCACATCTGTAATCCCAGCCTGAAAGGGGAAGCCAGGAAGGCTGCGGGCCATCTGGTCTGCTGCACCATTCAGTGAATGAATGGCAGAGAGACCTTGTCTCAAACCAAGTGGAGTCAAGGACATGAACTGGTGATGTCCTGACTTCTGCGTGCACAGACCTGAGCACACAAACACAGAGATGACCAACCAGCCAGCACAAAGAGCCCACGCTCCACACTGACTTCCAGCACTGGTCTAGCCTGAGAACCAACTCCCCTGGGTGGGATGCCAACACACAGCTAGCTCCACATTAGACTGCCAGCACTGGTCTAGCCTGAGGACCTCCTCCCCAGGTGGGATGCCAAGGCCGACTTTACCTTCAGAGCACCACAAAGCTCCACTGTGTCTGCATCATCCACCACAGTGATCCGGAAGTTGGGTGTCTGCAGCAGCTCTTTGAAGAGAAGGCCGTTCAGCAGCACCTTGCTACCTGTAGGGGGTTAGGAGAGAGAGAGACTAGTGACATGGCTTCTGTCCACTTTTTTTGGGTGGGTGGGAGGGGAGATTTGAGACTGGGTTTCTCTGTATAACAGTCCTGGCTGTCCTGGACTTGCTCTGTAGACCAGGCTGGCCTCAAACTCACTGAGATCCTCCTGCCTCTGCCTCCCGAGTGCTGGATTAAAGGCATGAGCCACCACTGCCCAACCTGTGCCCACTACTACACCCAGCAGACATTAAAGTGTTAACTTTTTTTTTGTTGTTGTTGTTTTTTGAGATAGGGTTTCTCTGTGGTTTTGGAGCCTGTCCTGGAACTAGCTCTGTAGACCAGGCTGGTCTCGAACTCACAGAGATCCGCCTGCCTCTGCCTCCCGAGTGCTGGGATTACAGGTGTGCGCCACCACCGCCCGGCTTAAAGTGTTAACTTTTATTACAAAAGTAACATGGGCTCTTCACACACATGCCCACGCATGCATACGCATAGCTATGGACACAAAACCATAGCTCTCACATCTAAGTAAACGGGAATTTCAAATGAGTGACCACGGCTAGGAACACAGGTTCAAGCTGTGCCACCATGATTAACAGTCTCACGAACCATTCATAATTCCAGAACAGAAGAAAATCAAGAATCAAGGTGCTTTCCAGATACACTGGTGGGAACGTCAGGAGGGGTCACAACAGTGCAGAATTTTTTGTCACATTTTGTCACAGGCTTCAGGTGCCACTCGGTGACATCTTAGCTCCAGGTTGGTAGATGCCAATGGCTGCGAAGCTGATGCATTCCAAAAGGTTTTACCTGGGTCACAGGTGGCTAATACGTGGCTATAAAGGGGGCTAAAGACAGACTGAGAGAATTTGGATCTATAGCACCCCAAATCTCTACAATAACTAAGTCGGTGAGCAAGTCAGCGAGCCTTGCAGAATTTTTAACATAGGTGTGGCTTTTTTAGGGTAAACTTCAGTTCAGATAGCGGAAATAGAAAATAATGATATCCCTTGCTAGTGCTTGAGAGGTTTAGGCAAAGAGTACAGGGGTTCAAGGCCAGCTTATGACGCATAACACCCTTGTCTCAAAAATTAAAGACCACCATGGGCCGGCAAGGTGGCCCGGCAAGGTGGCCCGGTGGGTAAATGTCTTACTGTGGAAGCCTAGAAACTCGAGTTCTAGCCAGGTAGAGGTGGAAGGGGAGGACCAATGCCACAGTTGCCCTCTGACCTTCATGTGTCCTTGACATAAACACTCACCCTACACAAAATAATTAATTTTGAAAAAAAGAAGTTTGGTTATTCCTAATACTAGAACCAATTATTTACAATTCAATAGATACCTTTAATTTACTGAATGTAGTACATCTGACATACATTTTAAGCTTATTAAACATGAAAAGTTTTTCTCGAAATGGAATGTAAGATCTGTGTGCGATTTAGAATCTGCTGTCCACAAATGCTGTCGGATAGACACGCAGTCAGAGAACCCATCCCGGCCACGGCCATGTTCCCCTCCTCTGGAGCAGGACATGGCATGCTGGGTTCTCCTCAGCTTCATACACTCAACTGCTTTATCCTCGCGTGTTTTGGACGCCTCTGATTGAACATTCGTGCTTGTGGACTAGGCTGTGTCTGGGATGAAGTGTGATCCAGAAATGGAGGGCACACTTGTGATTTCGAGGCAAGTCAGCGCCTTTAATCCAGACCTCTCCACTAGTAGAAGGCTCACCTTTAGCCCGGGCTACACCTTCTGCTGGAAGCCTATATAAGGACAGCGGAAGGAAGGGTGTGTTCTTAGCCTGCTGGCCCACGTCCTGTCAGCGTATCCATTCCTTCTTCAGGATTTTAGCAGACCAGCTGAGACACCCAGACTCATGGGGCTGAGCAGCTACTGGATTCCTGGGCTTTCCATTCATAACTAGTCACTGTGGGGCTGCAGCCTGTAAGGCATTCCAGCAGATTCCCTTATAGCTATGTAGAGAGACATTCATTCCATAAGTGCTGAGACTCTAGAGAATCCCCGACTAATACAAGTACAGTCAGGTGTGAGGACAGCAGTCTGGAGGCAGATGTGGGTGGATGTCCATGAGTTCAAGGCCAGCCTGGTCAACAGAGTGAGGCCCTGTCTCAAAAAGTGAAGCAAGGCAAACCATTAGAAATCAACACTGGCGATCGATACGCTGCATATAAACCTAGTGTCTGTGAGGCTGAGACAGGAGCCGTGAGCTCCAGTTAGCCTGGGCCACACGGAGAAACTGATTCCAAAAACACCAGATCACAACAGCAGCAACGAAGGAAAAGCAAACAAAGTGAAATCTTACCCATAATGCCAGTGTGTGAAATCTGCCCTGACTGGAGGGGTGCTGGCGGACTAGACTAATCCTCTTCCCAGGTTCTAAGTCAGGACCGTAGGCCACAAGCTGGCAGCAACTATCAGGACATTGGAACACCCCAGAAGACTCCAGCCCAGGGCTCCGTCTGTCTCCAGGTGGGGACCAGCTGTTCCCAGGCTTGCCTGCTCATGCCACCACCCCGGGAGCTAAGAACACCGGTAACCAGGCCGTGGCCCAGATCTATTAAATCACAGCCCCAGCGTGGAAGAGTGTGGCTAGTTTTTGAGGCTCCCTGGGTGATTTCAGACAGAAGCCAAGCTTGCACATCTTTGATTTAACCTCCCCCAGTTGCCTCCTGAGAAAAAACACTGGGTACTCCCAGGATGGCTGCAAAGTTAAGTAAGATTCAGAAAGAAAACAGTCTTGGTGGGAACAGGGCTCTGGCCCCATAATTATGAAGTCAGCTGACATTTGCTGGTGTGCGTGTGCGCACGTGCCCAAGCATTAGTGAATGTGTGTGACTGTAATTGTGTGTCGTTTGTGCAAGGTGCTTGCCTGTGTGTGTGAAGGCCAGGTGGGCAGTCCCCCCCCATTCCATATTACTTTTCGGATCACATGATGTCAGGAACAATGTTATATATGTAGGATGTATGGCCCTTGCAGGACTTCTGTGACTAAGTATGGAATCCTGTTTGCTTTAAAAAGCACACTGGTTTTGTAAAATAGGGAGCATGAAAGGCATTTTCTCCACGAGGGGGCAGCACAAGCTACGACAGCATTTCGTCTCCCCATAGAATTCACAAGTCAGCTGAGACTCCTGGCTCTACAATTAAACATCCGCTGGTCCTTCATGTCATGCATCCAGAGACCCGGAGGAGACCCGGAGGCTGGAGACGGAGCTCAGTGGTAGAGCTGCAGCATGCCCATGGCCCAGCACCATCAAATAATGAAGTGAGCAGAAGCGGGGGCTCAGTGGTTGGGCACCTACGAGGACTTGAGTTCAATGCCCAGCACTCATGTCCCGTGGTTTACAATTGCCCCTAAATCCAGCTCCGGGGGCATCCTGCACCTCTGGCTTCTGGAAACAGCTGCATTGTGTGTATACCACCCTTCCCCAGACATATAGATAAAAATAAATCTGTAAAGGCATGGAGGCCAGACGTCAATTCTCGGTATCTTCCTCAATAACCTGTCACCTTGTTTTTATTTTGAAACACGTGTGGGTGTTTTGCTTACATGTCTGTATGTGCGCCATATATATGCCTGGTGTCCATGGAGGCCAGAGAGAGCACTGGATCTCTCTGAAGTTACAGGCATTCCTGAGCCTCCATGTAGATGCTGGGGACTGAGCCTGGCTTTTCTATAAGAGCAATAGGTGCTGAGCCATCTCTTCGGCCTCTCCAGCTTTTTTTACAAGTAGGGTCTTTTGTGGATCCTGGAGTCAATGACTGGCGAGGATCCCAGCAAGTCCTTGGGATCCTCCAGTCTCCGCCTCCCGGACTGGGATTACAGACACCTGATCCTAAGCCTGATTTTTTTCCTCTAAGGATCTGAACTCAGGTCTCCTGTAGCAGACACTTTACTGACTGATCCATCTCCCCGGCACCTCTTCCCTGCTTTCTACTCAGACAGGGTCTCAGGTAGCCCACGATGGCCTCAAATTCACCAGGTAATCCTAATCCTCCTGCCTCCACCTATTAGAATACTGGAATTACAGGCTTGAGTTCATAGGTAGAGCATGTGTGTAGCAATATGAGGCCCTGAGCCTCCAGCTCCAAAGCAGGGAAGAGAGGAAGAACCAAGCAGGGGCTGGAGGGGGGGCAAGTAGTACAGGCTAACCCCAGTACTGCTAGGGCCCTCGGCAGCCTCACCAATGGTGGTCTCACAGAACTTCTCCGCAGCCACCTCACTGGCGATGTTGGCCCCCATCAGCACGCTGATGTCAATGCCCATCTTCTCTCTGATGATGTCGGAGATGAGCTTCAGCCCTTCGGGGCCCTCATCTATGCCCTGGAAAAATGCAGAGAAGTCAGGAGGACTGTGAAGCAAAGAGGCGAGAGACGCTTGTTTTGTAAGTAGTCTTAGCTGAGCATGGGGACTCATAATCCAGGTGAGGCAGGAGGACTGCTGTGAGTTCAAGGCCAGCCTTGGCTGCATAGAAAGTTGGGAGTCAGCTTGGGATACAGAGCGAGACTCTGTCTCTATCAAACACACAGGAAGGAATAGGATGAAGCAACTAGTGTGTAAGATGGTGTGGGAGGCAGATGAGCACCAGGGGAACCCGGAATGAGGACACGTGGGGTTGGCTCATTAAAGTGAGGATGTATAACCTGTCTCCTGACCAGAGCTGGGAACAGACGTGGTTAATAGCCTGCTGACCTTTGACACCACACCAGATTCTCCCCCAGGCCCTAGTGTGAGTGTGTTTTTCTCAGTCAGTCTATAAAGCCCATCTTAATGGAAAATGTCACGTGTCTTTACACAGAGCTTTGGTGCAGTCATGTCTTGGGCTTTACTGTGCACACAGGATTGAGTTAATTATCACCAGGATTTTTTTTTTTTTTACCAAATTGTGCTGTGCTTAAATATGCCTAAAATAAATGACTCTCAAAGTTTGACCCACCACCAGCCGAGTCTGACTCTCAACGTTAGAAGCAACACCAGCTGAGTCATGCTAAACCAGACTGTCTTCTTATCTCTGGAGAATCGACAGTCTGCTGGTCATAGTGTTTGCAGAGACCCTCGGGGGAGTTAAGGTTCCTTTGAAGAATAGGAACTCTGACCTGGGAGCACACAGGCCCAGTGGCTCCTTCCAGGGCTCCTGGACAGAAGGGACTGGACCCATAGCATACACTACCCCCAAGGTAGGAAGACCCCAGTTTAGTCCCATCCATCACCAACAAGGGAATAGTGGGCAACCCCGTGACAAGGACAACCACACTGTCATCTGGCTCTGGCTGCACAAAGTATGGCGCCCATTATAAGCTGGTGCCACACCGGCAGGCCAGTCGCTATGACATAAAGATTCTTTTCTCTAGGGTGGGGGAGATAGACCTGCGCTTGGTTCCAGCTCCAGGGGATCCGATGCCTCTGCCTGCGAAGGCACCTTCACTCATGTGTACACACCCATACTTAGACACACACATAATTAATAAAATAAATTTTGGCTAGCTCCTTCATTGGCTCCTTCCACAACAGGCAGAGTGGGGGGGTCCTCTCCCCAGGTTCCTCCTCTTCTTCCACCCTTCTCCCATCTGACAGAACAGCCATCCTGTATACTGTCTATACCTCACTCAATTTTCTTTAACTAAATTAATTTTTATAGTGCATAAACATTTTGGCTGCCGTGTATGTCTACTGTGAGTGCAGTTCCCACAAAGGCCAGCAGAGGGCATCAGGTACCGTGGAATTGGGAGTTAAAGATAGGTGCCTCTAGGTGGGTGCTAACAATAAAACTTCAGCCCTCCACTGGAGCAGTGAGTGCTCTTAACCACTGAGCCACCTTCGCAGTCCACTTGTTGATTTTCTTGATCATTTTACATGTAACTGTCCTCTTTGAAAGGTGATCACTTTTTTGCAGGTGAGCACTGCAGTGTCTGTCTGTGCTGTTGTCCTTGGCGCTGTATGACTATGTTAGAAACTTACACAAAGCTGTATGACTATGTTAGAAACTTACACACATAGGTGCGTATATGATGCTGGCTCATATCTGTTCCCTGATTCATGGTGTTTATCACTCGCTTTTTGATGAAGTTTGTGGACTTGTTTTAAGAAGTCTATACGAAGAAAAATTTCACATATCTATCTATCTATCTATCTATCTATCTATCTATAGATTTAGATATTGTGTGTGTGTTTGTGTTTGTGTGTGTTGTGTGTACACACACATATAAGAATGCCTGGGAGCCAGGCAGTGGTGGTGCATGCCTTTAATCCCAGCACTTGGGAGGCAGAGGCAGGCCTCTGTGAATTTGAGGCCAGCCTGGTCTACAAGAGACAGTTACACACTGTAACTGTCTGGGGAAGGGAAGAATGCCTAGGAAACCAAATTAAATGAATGGAAGGAGCTTTTTAGTTGAAGATGAAAAATCAATAAAATACAATGATCAATAAAAATAATATCATTCCTGCCATAATACTGGGATCAAATTCAGGTCAAGATTCACAGTGGGCACATTTACCCACCAAGCCATCTCACCCAGCATGGATGGCTAACTCACCTTGACTGGACCAGTCATTGGTAATGCAAGATTAACTAAGAGAGAATAGTTACTCCTGAGAATGGTGGTGCCATCTCCTGGGCCAGGCTCCCAAACTGAATGAGAAAGGAAGAGGAGGCTGGGGCTATGGCTCAGTGCTCCCCTGGTACAGAGTCCTTGCCTGGCACGCACAAGGTTCCAGCATCACAAAACAAATTAAATAAAACAAAAAACGCAGTCAGCCAGCGGTGCCGGAAGAAATTCGGCATTTCTCCATTCTGGTCTGCTGAGATGTGAACAAGCAGCGACCTTTTGTGGCTGCCTCCACGCAGCTGCCTACAGTCACGCCTGCCTTGCCTCCCGGCCCGTAATGGACAGCCTTGCTTCAGACAGTGGGCGCCAATAAACCTCTCCCTGCTGACGCTGCTTCCGGCCAGGTGTTTGTCATGACCGACGAGACAGGTGCCCGACAGACCTTAGCAAGCACAGGAAAGAGGGAGTGAACTCTGGAGGAGGCAGGGTCCAGGGACCTGACTCCTGCCGGCTCTTCACGCGTGGGTTACCTTGATGAGCGTGATGCCCAGGGCCTTCTTGGGCACCTTGCCCGTGATCTCATCGCAGATCTTGTGGATGAACTGGTGGGGGATGACAAACACCAGCAGGTCCGCATCCTGCACGGCCTCGCTGAGATTCGGGACAGCGACCTGCGGCAAATCGGGAGACGGGTAATTCCGCAGAAGGCCAGTTAGTCCGTCCCCTTGCCCCTTCAGAATGCGCACGGCCATGAGGCTCTGCCGCCTCCACCCCATTCTTCCTAGGAAAAGGACCCTGACGTGTCCTTTTCCTTTTAATAAGTGTTGCTTAAAAATTACATCTTATTTATTTGTTGGTGTGTGTGTGTGTGTACATGTTGTGGCATGCCTGTGGAGGTCAGAGGACAACTCAGGTCTCTCTTCTGTGGAAGTTCTGGGCATCAGACTCGAGTCACCAGGCTAGGGTGCAGATGCCCGCTCTATTGTTCTTATTATTGGTTTTTGAGACAGGGTCACGCTTTATTGTCCAGGCAGTCCTGGAGTCACCATGTATCCTGGGCCACCTCCTCCCTCAGCCTCTCTTTAATCCTGGATACCAAAGTGCTAAGGCAGAAGGATCAGGAGTCCAAAGTTATCTTTGGCCATGTAGCAAGTTTGAGGCTAGCCTGGGCTATATAAGGTCAAAAGGTCACAAACCAAAACCTCACTTATGTGTACAGACATACGGATTTTAATCTTAACGAGAACAATGCTTTTTAAAAAACTTGCAGAGCTCAGCAGACAGATGAGAGACAATGAAAAGCAACTCCCGAGGGGCAGTTGAAGCTGGCATGCCAAAGCCTTCACCTGGCTGAGCTCCAAACACGAGTTCCCAGTGGAGAGCAATGAAACCAGATCGACCATTGCTCTTCAATGACAGGAAATAACAAGTGTCTTCTCTATTTAGGTCTAATGAAATCACACTCTGAGACCAGCCAGCTTTTAGTGAGCCAGTGAAAATGCTAAGTCAAAAATGGGCGGTCACTGTCACAGAAGGTTCCCGAGCAGGGCCCTCAGGTAGGGCAAGGTGTGCGGTGGGTTAGGTCCATGCAAGGTAGACTTGGACCCTGAAGTCATAGCCTCACTGACAGACATGCATAGCAGTGCTGGGCTAGCAATGGGGCTCTGTTAGCAGAGAGCCTTCTCAGGACTCGTGAGACCCTGAGTTTGATCCCCAGTACCACCTAAGCCAGGGGTGGTGGGCTGGGGAGGTGGAGGCAGGAAGATCAGGAGTCCTCAGCTATATACCAGATTCGAATACATGGGACCTAGTGTCAAGGGTGCCAGAGAGATGGTTCAGCAGTTTCTGCTGCTCTTGCAAAGGACCAGGGTTCGATTCTCAGCACCAAGATGGTGGCTCACAACCATCTATAACTCCAGTTCCAATGGGTTCAGCACCCTCTTCTGACCTCCATGGGCATCAGGCATGCATGTGGTACACAGACATACATGCAGGCAAAATACTCATACACATAAAATCTTTTCTTTAAAATATAAAATCTTTTTTAAAATGTTTAGTTCAAAGGAAAATTATAGCCAGGTGGTGGTGGCATACTCCTTTAGTCCCAGCTCTTGGGAGGCAGAGGAAGGCAAATCTCTGTGAGTTCGAAGTCAGCCTGGTCTACAGAGCAAGTTCCAGGGCAGCCTAGGTTGTTAAACACAAAAACCCTTAGGAAAAAAAAAAAGAAAGAAAAAGAAAATCAGTTAAAAAAAAAAAGAGCTAGAAATCCTGTTTGTACTTTCTTCTCAAGTCACAAGGAGACAGTGCTTAAAAATGAGCCTGGGGTACAGAAGCCAGGAGAGAGCCTAGAGGAGAGAGAGGTGGTGCGGTAGAATTGTCTGTATTCTGTCAATCATGTTTTAAATAAATGCTGATTGGCCAGGCAGGAAGTATAGGTGGGACAACCAGGCAGGAAGTAAAGGTGGGGCAATGAGAACAGGAGAATGCTGGGAAGGAGGAAGCCCATTCCTCTCAAGTCCTGGCCCATACACGGAAGAAGCAGGATGTGACCTGCCCCACTGAAATAGGTACTGAGCCATGTGGCTAACATAGATAAGAACATGGGTTAATATAAGTTACAACAGTTAATAAGAAGCCTGAGCTAATGGGCCAATTAGTTTATAACGTAATATAGACCTCTCTGTGTGATTTATTTGGGGCTTAGTGGCTGTGGGAACTGGGCAGAACAGAAACTCCAACAAGAAGGCCCTCATGTTACAGAGAAGACCAAGAGATGAGAGAGAGGGCCTAGAGGGAAGATAGAGAGGGTCTAGAGTGAAGAGAGAGAGGGTCTAGAGGGGAGAGAGGGCCATGCATGTATTGTGACCTTAAGGTTCCAGTCCTATGTACAAATGGCTTCCAGGAGCACTTTCAAGAATAGGGTCACATAAATGTCCACTCCAGAGAGCAAATGTTCATTTGGATACAACTGCAGGGCATTAACTGAGTCCTGGGTGTGAGCCTTTGCCCCATCTACACTGCCTGGGGAGGGAGGTGGTGAGTGAGGATGCCCAGGATGCCCGGCTGTCTTATTTGATGCCTGGGGAGGGAGGTGGTGAGTGAGGATGCCCGCTGTCTTATTTGATGCCTGGGGAGGGAGGTGGTCAGCAAGGATGCCCAGGATGCCCGGCTGTCTTATTTGATGCCTGGGGAAGGAGGTGGTGAGTGAGGATGCCCAGGATGTCCGGCTGTCTTATTTGATGCCTGGGGAAGGAGGTGGTGAGTGAGGATGCCCAGGATGTCCGGCTGTCTTATTTGATGCACGGTGCTTCTTCCATTCCTCAGTGCGCAGGCTCCTAATCACCCAGCAGCTTCACATTCCCTACTATTAATCTACCTGCCCCCAAGGCACAGATTTATAATCTCAGCTACGCAGGGGAGTGAGGCAGGAGGATCACAAGTTCAAGGCCTGCCTGGGCAACCTAGGGAGCTCATGTCTGAAAATAAAAAGGACAGCACCATGGTAGTACCCTGGGTACCTAGAAAGTCAAAAGCGGAAAGCCAGAGTTCCAGGCACAGGACAGGTGGAGGGGGCAAGTTCCTTGGTGGCTGGCACAAGGAAAGGAGCATGACAGTGAGGTACCTGACCCACAGAGGGGAAGGAGCCAGCCTGCACCGCAGAGACCCTCTCTCAGTCTCCCAACTCCCCTGCCCCAGTGAGCAGGTGTGACGTCCTGGGTTTGATTCTCAGCACGGCGTGACCTGAAGCTGCAGTGTTTGTACTTAGCAGGTGAAAGCAGGAAGACCACAAGCTCAGTGTCATAGGTGCACGAGGTCAGCCTGGGCTACATGCATGCAAGTCTTAGGGTGGGGGGAGCCTAAAACTTCAAAAGCATGTTAATTAACTAATGAAACGGTCATTGGGAAGGGCTCTAATCCTACACAGTTGTTGTCCTTGTAAAGGGAGCAATGAGGCTGGGAGGGGTAGCTAGGTGGTTAAGTGAACGTGCTGCTCTTCCAAGAGGACCAGAGTTTGGTTCCTAGCACCGATATCAGGTCCTTCACAGCCTCTGCCACTCCAGCTCCAAGGGATCCAGTGCCCTCTTCTGAACCTGATGCACACACGGGCACAGAGCACACACGCATTTCCACAGAAGAAACACAGGACCTATCTCAAAGAGCAAACCAACCAGAATCCAAGACAAGCAGAGCCAATCAAGTGACATTGGAGACATGGGGGAAACGGAAGGTTGCTTTGCCTCTCCCAGGTCAGACATGCTGAATCTTTCCCGGTAAGACCAGTGCACACAGATTATTAGAGATGGGTTGATCGGGATATCAGAATTAGCCAGTAAGGGCTAGAGCTAAAGGGCCAAGCAGTGTTTAAATGAATACAATTTGTGTGTTGTTATTTCGGGGCATAAGCTAGCCAGGTGGCTGGGGTGCTGGGGACGCAGCCCCGCTGCTCCTATTACAACAGTCCCCCACCCCCACCAGGTCTTACCACGTTTTCTGGCAGCTTGTGTCCAGGGAGATATTTCACGTTTTCGTGGTCATTGTTGATGATGTCTGTCAGCTTCCTCCCGTTAACGGTTTCCTCGAAGACCCACATCTTGACCGTGGAGGCGAACTTCTGCAGGTTCTTTACATTATTTCCAATGATTTTTGCAACAGCTGATCCCCTGCAAGGAGACAGAAGAGGGAAAAAAATGTAAACTCACTGGAGAAGAGAAAAAAGCATTTGACTGAGATGCAATTGTTTGGCGTTTTGATCCTCAGACTTCATGAGTCAGCTCAAGGTGAGTGGTGTATGTGCGGACTCAGATTTTCTCATACAACCCCACCCCCCTCACCCGACTGAAACCCGTCCTGTTATAAGGGAAATGCCAGCATTTGGTACAAAGTTCAAAAATAAACCAGAAGCCTGAGGCGTAGCTCAGTCAGTGTCTGACTAGCATGCACAAAGCCCTGGGTTTGATCCTCAGCTCTGCGTAAACCAGGCAGGTGGCACAAGCCTGTCATCTCAGCACTTAGAGGGTAGGGTTAGAAAGAGGGGAATTTCAGGGTCAGCCTTAGCTACACAGAGAGCTGAGGGCAGCCTGGGAGACAGGAGACTCTGTCTCAAAAAAAAAAAAAATTCCTCGAATCTATTAAGAACCAGCATGTCTCGGTGCAGTGTCACAAGTAGGACAGAAATTCTGGGGAAAACGTGCAAAGGTACAAGAGAGGGTTTGGCGCCTGTAAGGAGGCTTAGCTACAGCTCAGATCAATCAAGGAGATTAAAATGTAACCACTGTGGAATTAACTGTATCCTATTAAACCACAGCAGAGCCACCTCTGTGTGAGAAAGGAGACGCCTGCACCAAAGGAAACAGGCCATAGGGTGGGTCCCCATCGCTCCACACCCCACACCTCTGGATGGCCTCTGGCCCTCAAAGTCCCTTCCTCTGCTTTGATATCCAGTGAGAGATAGAATTCTGAAATCCTAAGGAGTTACCACAGTCCTCAGGTAGCCCCATGCTGTGGGACAATGGTTTTACCCTGTAAAGATTTTATTCTTTTTTTTTTATTTTTTTAAATATATATTTATTTATTTATTAAGTATACAATATTCTGTCTGAGTGTATGCCTGCAGGCCAGAAGAGGGCACCAGATCTCATGACAGATGGTTGTTAGCCACCATGTGGTTGCTGGGAATTGAACTCAGGACCTTTGGAAGAACAGGCAGTGCTCTTAACCTCTGAGCCATCTCTCAGCCCTAAAGATTTTATTCTTGTACTTGTTTAATAAAACACTGATTGGTCAGTAGCAAGGCAGGAAATATAGGCAGGGTGACCGGGCAGGAAGTAGGGAAAGAACAGGAGAATTCTGGAAAGAGGGAAGTTTCAGTCTGCAGTCATCACCCAGACACAGAGCAAGCAAGATATGACTGCCTCGGTGAAAAAGGTACCAAGCCATGTGGCTAACATAGACAAGAATTATGGGCTAATATAAGTTATAAGAGTTATAAGAAGCCTGAGCTAATGGGCCAATCAGTTTATGATTAGTGTAGACCTCTGTGTGATTTCCTTGGGACTGAATGGCTGTGGGTGGCGTGGCTAACACAGAGGGACCCAGTAGGACAGAAAACTCTGCTGGGCCTGGCTACTGTGCCCTTGTGTTAAGCTGTGATGGTGAGCACCTGACCTCAGCTGAGCCGAGTGGCTTCCGTCTGTGGTGTCTGAAATGAGAAACTGCTGCCTAGAGGACTTTCCTGGTGTGGGCTCCGGTGTAAGAAAATGATAAAGAAAGTAGATGCGATACTTAGTTCCTTCCCATAACTCCAGCATTGAGGAGGCTGAGCCGGAAGGATGCCTGTCACTCATAAACAGTGGGCTCCAGGCCAACCTGGGTGACAGACTGTGACCCCATCTCAAAAAATCAAGCAGGCAAAAGTGGTGAGGAACACTCTAAAATCCCAAGGAATTCCGAATTTCATGATGGTGTGTTCACACGAGTGTGAGGGCACGCCTGTGTGCAAGTGTGCAAGCAGCTTTGCCGGTGAGAGACAGAGACGAGGCGGTGGTGGGCAGAGTTATGTCGACCTTGCCTTGGGGGAGGCACCAGATGGGCCTCACCTGGGAAGAAGCTGCGCCACTTCAGGGACGGAAGTCCCGGAGCCAAGACCAGTCCAGAGTGTTTACTCAGGAGCATCAACCCCACCTTCCCACCCACGCAAGAACTACGTTCAGCCTCAGGCCTCAGAACACACACTCGCTCACAATTCTGCCCGCTGTGCCAATGAAATCTGTGAGCCCAGCACTGGGGGTGGAGCTAGGGGGAAATCAGGTGCTGAAGGTCGTCCTCAATCACCTAGGGAGTTGGAGCCTGGGCTACCTGAGACTTTTTTGAAAAGCAAATATGAGACAGAGGCAGGAGGACATCTGTGAACGTGAGGCCTGGGCCAGCCAGGGCTACATTTTTTTTCTTTTCTTTTGTTTTTGGGTTTTTCAAGGCAGGATTTCTCTGTGTAGTTCTGCCTGTCCTGGAACTCTGTAGACCAGGCTGGCCTCAAACTCAGAGATTCACCTGCCTCTGCTGGGATCAAAGGTATGTGCCACCACTGCCCGGCTGTGAGACCCTTTCTTAAAACAACAAAACCCAAATCAATGCTATACAAAAAACCCAACCAACTGGATAAATACATGGGAGATGGAGACATGGCTCAGTGGTTAAGAGCACTGGCTGCAGGGTCCAGCTCTTAGTTGTTGGGAGCAGTGAGACCCCAGATCCTGAATTTCTTGTAACAACTTGTTTTCCCCTGATCTGAGTGCCTACAGCTGCTCTAAGCACGAGACCTTCAGGAGTTCCTGATGGCAGGAAAGTGGTTTCTGGTGGGTTTTGGGGCGTGGCTATCTCTATATAATCTGCCCCTGAACACAATAAAGGGGGCATTCTTGGGCAATTCAAGGATGACCCGTGTTGCTGTCAAAAAAAAAAAAAAAGCACTGGCTGCTTTTGCAGAGGACCCAGGGTCAAGTCCAGCACCCAGATGGTGACTCCTAATCATGTGTGACTTCAGTTCCAGGGAATCTGTGATACCCTCTTCTGATTTCGACTGTACCAGACACATACATGGTACAGACATGCTCTCAGGGGAAACACCTGCGGGGACATAACTAAGGTCCTCAAACTTGTGCAGTAAGCACTTATACCAACTGAGCCACGCCCTAGCCCCTGCTCTCTCCTTTCACCCAGAAGGAAAGGGGTCCAGGGAGAATGAGCGTGTAGCCATAATGTCCACCACCTGAGCTCCTATCCCTCCCATGCCTGCTCTGAGCTGTGCGGTTTATCAGGCAATCAAGGACGTTGGTGAATTTTCTATTAAACAACATCTAGTCTCCAGTCCTAAGAGCAATGCATGAAAGAGGCCAGAGCGCTAGGAATAATCCCATCCCGCCACCCAGGCAGAACCACGGTCTACACCGCGTGTGATTCTCTGCAGTTAAAGGGCTTTTGGAATACAGCCCAGTGCCAGAGATACAAACGTGAACGGCGAAAGATTTTAAGAATAGATTCGACTTGGTGCAATGTTTATTTGATCTCTGGGTAGAGAAGCTTTCCAAGTTTAAACCCAAAAGAGGAAACCACAGAGACAAGGAGGAAAAAAAAAATCAATGTGAACATTTCACTTAAAGGAAAGGAGGACGATAACAGGGCTTCTGGCAGAGGACGGTGCTCACCATGGGATGGCCCCTTAAACAAAAGGCGGCACGTGGCTGGGGAGGAAGTGCGATGCCCTGGATTCCATCCCCAGCACCGCACAAACTGGTTTTCTAGGCAGCAAGTTCCTTTACCTGCTAAGCCTCTTGTTGGCCTCCCACTCCCACGCCACCCCCATTTCCCAGCTGCAACAGAGTATCACATGGTCCAGGCTAGTCTCTAATTCCATTTGTAGCTGAGGGCCGAGTGTGTCTTCACCTCCTGGGAGCTAGGATCACAGGTTAGTGTCCACGACCTCCTGCACACCAGACAAGCCCTCTGCCAACCGAGTGTCACAGGGTTTGTGCCCAAGGTTTTCTGCCTTCGTCTTCTATTTACAGGCTCTCAGCGGACAGCACATCCTAGTAAGAGAACAAGGAAGCCAGCTCCCATAGCTGCACCATCAATTGCTGGAGAGATGGCTCTTGGATAAGAACTTGCCACACAAGTGTGAAGACTGCAGTTATCCAGACCCCACAAAGCCAGGAAGGAGAGGGAACCACTTGATATACCAGTTCACAAGAGGCAGAGACCGGGGACCCCAGGGCAAGATGTGTAGCTAGATAAACCAGAATGTGTGAGCTCGAGGCTTAGGCATGGAGATCCCCAGATGAGAAACTATGTCTGACACCAGCTTCAGGCTTCCACATACACACACATGAGAACACAAATATACACACAAAGAAGAGGAGGAGGAGAAGCCAGGCTGTGGTGGCGCACGCCTTTAGTCCCAACACTCAGGAGGTAGAGGCAGGCTGATCTCTGAGTTCGAGGCTAGCCTGGTCTGCAGGGCTAGTTCCAGGACAGCTAGGGCTGCACCGAGAAACCCTGTCTTGAAAAACAAACAAACAAAAAAAGAGAGAGAGAGAGACCCCATGACTTAAGAGGTTTCCTTTAATCTTAGATGAAGGTGGCTAGGTCTGTAGGACATAGCGCAGGACATTGCTGTACAGCCAGCCAGTGTTCCGGCTGCTAGGCAGAGTTCTTGAAGACGCACATTCTTTGGTTTTGTTGCCTGTAGCCCATACAAACCGCTTCCTCCTTCTAGTACTGGGAAAAAACAGGTAGAAGCAGCCAGATGGTAAGAAGCAGAAGCTGCTCTACTGCCTGGGACAGCGTTTCTCAAGCTTGGGAGGAGGCTGGTATGTAAGCAGGGGAAATGGGGGCCCAGTTCCTTACCCCACTGACATTACATACAAGCAACACTTGTTCCCACTTGTTTGCTGAGCTCCCGGGGGTGGTGCTAATTGATGCTAGTTAGTTATAAACCAAGGGTATTGGAGACAGCTAGGTTGGTGGAATGCAGGTCTAGCATGAGCCCAGGAAGGCCTGGGTCCCTGAAGGGACACAGCGTAGCATGGCTGTAATTCTAGCACTAGGAGAAGAGGCTGGAAGACCAGAGCCAGTCTGCGCTATGATGAGCCTGCTGAAACACAAAAAT